GACAGGAGGGGGATGGATACAGGGGTGCGGTGAGGATAGGTGTAAGGGAAGGATAGGTAAGAGAGGAGAGGGTAGATAGATAGGTAGGGTGAGGATAGGTGAGAGGAGAAGGGGTGGATGGAACGGTGAGGATGGGTGAGAGGGACGGACTGTTTAGGTCAGGATAGGTGAAGAGGGGGTGGGTTCTGTGGTTAGGATGGCTGCAGGGGGTGAAGGATTGTGGTTAGGATAGCTGTAGCCTGTAGGGGGGGGGGGGAAGGTGTTAGTAGTGGTGGTGGATGGAAATGGATTTGATGGGTGTGAATAAGGATAAGAACATGTCTGGAGATGTTAGGAATACACACACACACACACTGAGGTTTGCAGCCAGTCAGGAGGAGGGAGAAACAGAGAAGAGATGAGCTACCATCCTGAGGTATCCCACAACGCGAGACAGATTACCCCAAAGAGCCTCTGATAATCGGCCCTTGTCCCAGCGGTGGGCGGGTTTGGCCTGTCATTAGTAGCCAACCTGACAGAAGAGACTCACCACCCCGCCACCACCTACCTCTCTCCCTCCTCAAACATCTGCAGTGTTTACTTGTTTGGACTTTTGTTTGGATTGTTTGGACCTTTGTTTGGATTGTTTGAACAGTCTGGTGTGATAAGGATGTGTGGTGATTCGACCCATTCTCGTCTTATGGTAATTGGGGTTTTCTTCTTTGTGGCTAGAATTTGATTATAAGATTGACGTTCCGAGGCCATTCAAACTCCCCACTACTGATCGTCTTTTGTTTCTATTGTTTACGACTGACAGAAGCTCTTGAGATGTCCTGATACCACGAGTCAAATGGAGATATAGATTCCAATTGGTTGATTAAAACACGGTAGCTTCACCCATCATGGTTAAAGAAGGGGAAATAGTTGACTGTGGTTGAGTTTATGTCGTTTAAAATCATCCGACTACCTCTCTTGAACACACTAACGCCGGATGCTTTGTGGAAAAATACTATCATTTCTCATTTGACTCATAACATTACTTAACCTCGAACTTAAACTTCACTGGTGGCTGTCTATTACACAGTACTTTAATCACTATAGTTAACTGCACCATTAGTAAAAACTGTATTATTGTGGTAACTAATGTAGGTTTTTATTGTGGGTTTATACGACATTATTTCCTAACTTGTATGATCACGTGTTTGAGAGTTTGTGTACAGTATATTGTATTATTTTGTTAACTTAGAAATAGTGTTAATTTATATTTTATTTATTTTTATTTTGTTTATTTATTTTTTATACGTTTAGTTATCTTTAGCTAAGTAATTTTTTGTGATCTTAGAACCACAATCACATAAAACTAGATTTAATTTCGTATTATTGTGTTATCGTATGTATTCTGTTTTCATTGTCTAAGATAACAACTTTGTCAACTAGATACCAAAAATTTATATAATTTTTGGTAACGTTAGATAAGAAAACGCTATCCTCACCGCCGTTGTCAGTACCGTTGTTGCTACCGTTGTCACGAACCAACAGGAGCAACAGAATATAAATAACCTTGCAGGAATTCGTATCTTCAATTACAAGAAAAAAATAATCTTACGAATCTTTGTGAATCTTGACTCTGATAATCGCTCAAATATGTCATGAAACTTGACGTGACGTGTAAAACTTCTTTCTCTAATCCTTGAAAAAGTTTTATATAAATTTACAAATAGTATCTGCCTATAATTCAGGATTTAGATCTTGAGTGAGAAAATCCTCTAAAATGATTCACTAACTCGAGTCCTGATTCACGGTGATTCTGTGTTGTAATTTTGTCACTGAACTGGTGCTAAGGTGATGTATCTAGTTAAGGTCGAGTCTTAGTGTAATATTGAAGCCATGTTGATGTTTTTTGTCCTTTTGGAGTCAGTCATCCAATTTTTAGAGATTCATTTAAGAGGAATATTTCACGTAAGAACTTTTAAGAATCCATTTTTGTTTCGTAGCTTAAGTGAATCTGTCAAATACTCTCTTAAGTCAACAGTTACGAGGAAAATTTCACGTAAGAACCTTTAAGGGTGCTTGAGCCAATGGCATTTCGGGGGGATCATTTTTCGTATTTTCTATTGGCGAAGCTGTCAAGGTTATGGATAAGGGGAGACTTGTAAATAACACCTCTATTCTATCACTCTGTCCTCTCGCAGTTTTATGGACCAGGGGGAGGGAGGGGTTATGGGCCAGGAGGGTATGGGCCAGGGGAGAGGGGGTTATGGGCCGGAGAGGGGAGGGGGGGGGGGGCTTATGGATCAGCTAACACTGCCAGACGACTCTCCGCCACCCGTGTTGTCAGAGGTTCATATGATAAAAACAATGGCGTTCGTGACTGGTGACTTGAGAATGGATTTGACTGATTCACTTTAGTTATGATATGAAAAGGATTCTTGAAGGTTGTTATGTTAAATTTTTCTGGTGGAGGGAAGAGGGAGGAAAGGATGTAGAAGGAGGGAGGTAGAAAGGTAGACAAGATAGGAGGGATGGATGTGAAAGGAGGGATGAAAGGAGGAGGGAAGGAGGAAGAATGGTATACAGTGAGGTAGGTAGGTAGGTAGGAAGGGACTAGAGAGAGTGAGAGAGAGGAAGGGGGGAGAAGTTGGTAGGAAGGGAGAGAGAGAGAGACAGCTGTTTGGGCCAATATTCGTGACAATAAATTTTATAAATCATCTTAGGCATTTTGTCGAGTCACGTGCTGCGGTCGCCAGGTATTGATTTACTGTTGTTGACCGTTGGGTTACTTCCAGCCGCTCGTTAAGGCCCTCTTGACGGCAATGGCGAGTTAGGGGGGGTCAGGGGGGGTGAAGAAAAGGGGGAGAAAGGGTAGACCAGGGGTAAGAAAGGGGTGAGGGAAGAGTTAGGACTAAAGGGGTAAAAAGGGGGGAGGGAGTTAGGGGTGAAGGGGGAGAAAGAAAGGCCAAGGGATAAAAAACAGGGTTGGAGAGGCGAGTTAGGGATTATTATTATTATTATTATGAGATGTTTAAAGTGTCACCTGTTTGCCATTAATTGTTTGTTTGTCTCATTACTGTTCTTCTTTCCTCTTCTTGTTCACTCATTCTCTGTTTATTCTTGCTGTTCTCTTTCGTCTACTATGTGCACACACCGCCACATGTACACAGTGTACTATACGTGTACACACCTCGACTGGTAATGCAATACTGTACGTTGGAGTGATTGGGGAAGGAGGGAAGGAAGGGGTAGGGGAAAGAGGGGGAGGGAGGGGGTGAGGGAGTAGCAGCAAGACGCCTACATGATTGATTTTGATCCCAGCCCCCCCCCCCTCTCCTTGACCCCCAGTGACCCCCTCAACAACCCTCCGTGACCCCAGGTAGGTGAGGTGTCGTCAATGTGCACCAGCTGTTCAGAGGCAGATGGCAAAAACCAGCTGGTGTTCAGGTGGGGAGGGGCATCTCCTTCAGTCGAGAGGGAGAGAGAGAGAAGAAGAGAAAGAGAGGGAGAAAGAGAGAGAGAGACAGAGAGGGTGGGGGTGGGGGGGGCTATACCCACCTGGTGTACTCGTCTGATAAGAGATAATGACTTTATACCGATTCGTTGATCACACCCATCACCTCAACCCCTTCCTTCCCACACCTTCACCCCTTCCCTCCCACCTTCACCCCATCACCCTCACTCATCCCTCCATCCTCACCCCCTTCCTCCAACTCGTACCCTCCCATCACCTTCCACCCCCTCGCGCGGTTATGAGGGGGAAAGGAAGGAAAGGGACAGAAACGCGGACAGGGAGACACACACCTACCTCACCTGTACTACCTGGCTAATTAGTGTCTCAGGTGAAGTGGCGGACAGGGTGGACCATACCAAATGTTTTTTTTATATTATTACTTAAGGATAAAACCCCTTTATTATGAATTTACTGATGTTGTTAAATATAAAATGTTGTTTATAATTGTTGATCTTGTTTGCATAAGGATGATGATGATGTTTTGTTTGTTTGCTTAGGTTAATAATCAAGGACAGAAGAATTTTTTTGTTATATGGTGAAGATAAATATAAAATCAATATATATTTACTCCAGAGGAAGATTATGTTAATATTTGAAGATTTAACCCAAATACAGGAGATATTAACTTAACCCCAGAGGAAGATTATGTCAATATTTGAAGATTTAACCCAAAACACAGGAGATATTAACACCCTGGAAATAAACTTGGAGATATAATATAAACCTATACATCCCAGTAACAGTTCCAGTTTATATTATGGATTGTAAATATACATGTATGACCTTTCACTTCCCGCTGTGTTATGGAACCTTGTGTTAGTGGTCTGAAGCGTCGATTTTTTTGGCCTTAAGTAATGTTAAAAGTTCCCAAAATATTCATAGAAAATTGTCGAAAATACCCACTGAGAAATTGCCCAGAATATTGTTTAAATTATATTCCAAAATGCCCTCACAAAAATACCCAAATTATATAAAAATATAGAAAATTATCAAAAATATATAATATAGTATGTCCAAAATATACAAAAATGTCCATATATCAAAAAAGTCCAAAAAATATAACTTAAAAATATTAATACTTTTCAAAAATATATAATGTCAAAAAGTACAAAAACTCCCAAAAGCTGTCATTAAATATCCGAAATATATTATATCCGAAATAGACGAAAAAAAATACCAATATATATATTTCTTAAGTTCCACATTGATTAGCAGACTCCAGGGAACAAACCACCTGAAGATAAGACACCCTAACACTACCTGAGGGGGGTTAGGTTAAGTTGAATTAGATCAGGTAATTAATTAGATTAGGTAATAGGTCAGGTCAGGGTAGGTCAGGTAATAAGTCAGGTCAGGTTACAATTGGTTACCTTAGGTGTTTTAATCATCAGATGAAAAACAAATTGGGGTGTCTAATTTTCAGGTGATCCAAAGTTGAAAAAACAAAAGCATGATATAACACCCCCCCCCCCTAGCCGCCAGCCTCCATCATGAACGACACAATCTTTTGTTTCAGCCACCGAGTGTGATCCCTCAACAAGCCAAGGTAGAGTAACACCTCCCTCCTGTACTTCTCTACCTCGCACCTCTCTACCTCTCTCTCTCACACCTCTACCCCTCACCTCTCTCTCTCTCTCTCTCTCTCTTGCCCATCTATATTTTTCACTAGTTCGTTTCTCAAATTCTCTATCTTTCTCTTCTTCCCTCACTTTCTCTCTATCTCTCACCTCTTCTACTTCTCTTAATCACTTTTCCTCTTCTCATCTCCTCTTTTTCTCTCGCTGTCTCTCTTTAATTCTCTCACTTCTTCGCTTTCTCTCACCTTTTCTATCCACACTATCTCACACATTAGCTGCCAGAGGGATACTACAGCTGGTACCTAAATGTTGTTCCAGCTGTGAGACAGACAGACAGACAGACAGTACACAACCATCTGTCACTATAATGGTTCTTCCTCAATAATAAACATTTATGAATGCTATAAAAAATGTATAATTATTTTTTTTTTACGTATCTGAAAATCTTAACTTATTTTTTCCTACTTTTTGAAGCATGTTGATTATTTTAAGTATTATTAGTATTGATAATTGATACTAAGAATTACATTAGATTTCATGTATTTATTATCGTATTTTATGTATTATTGTATTATTTTTACTGTATCAAAGAGAGATTGTGTTTCGTTTTCTTTCACCAATGTCAATACCAAGGGGCCAAGACCTCCTCCGTCAGTACTTGCCGAAGGAATGGTTGATCGATGGATATCACCTGATTAGAAATATCCCTGTAGTAATGTTTCTCTCTCTCTCTCCCTGTCTCTAGTCTGATTCATATCCCTGTAGTAATGTTTCTCTCTCTTGTTTACAAATAACATCGCTTAAAGATATAATACCAAATTATTTATGGTTTATATATATTAAATAATTTATTGATCGTTGGAATTATATAGAGTTAAGGGGAATATCACCTAATTACCTGTGATATCTGATATCATCTAATTAACGTATCGTTTAGGTAATGTGGGTTTAGATTCCTTGATTAATTTACCTGGATTTTTTTTTCTTTGCAGTGCTTTTTTTTCTAGTATAGTTTATGCCGTGTTTATTTTTTCATTCCCAATCCCTTTCACTTTCCCACTCTCTCTCTCTCTCTTCATCCCACTCCGCCTCCCCCTCACTCCCCACTCCTTCACATGCCTGTAACAGGGCCGCCTCTCCATCACAGGTACTCATCAACTCTCATTTACGCTGACACTAATTCCGGGATCGACCAGATATCACGCCTTCCTCTCTCTCTCTCTCTCTCTCTCTGATTGTGTACCTGAATCAACGAATATGAGAGAGACACAGACAGATAGACGCAGAGAAAGACAGACAGATAGACAGAGTGGGTTAAGGTAGGTGAGGGTGGGCTAGGGTGGGCTAAGGTGTGTTCAAACAAAATTCATTACCACCTCCTTCCTTCCTCCTCTCCACCCCTCTTCCTCCTCCTCTCCACCCCTCTTCCTTCTCCTCTCCGCCCCTCCTCCTCCTCTCCATCCCTCTTCCTTCTCCTCTCCGCCCCTCCTTCACCTCCCCTTCCAATCACCACCACTTACTTATATCTCTCCCACCCTCGTGATGAGGGAGGGAGGGAGGGAGGAAAAGACCCCCAGGAGAGTATCAAGAACGACCTTAATCTGTTTGTGACTCCCTCTCCCTCCCTCCCTCTTCCTTCCCCCCTCCCTCCCCTCACCGTTTCCCTGTATAAACTTGTGGGGATTTGTGATATGATTTTGTTATGAGTAAATAAAATTGATATTCTTTGACTCTCTCTCTCTCTCTCTCTCTCTCTCTCTCTCACACAGTTAAAGAGTAAAACTAACCTTTCACACTGACACGTAAAGTTTATCCCAGCGGGTAATGTCTGTGGCAGTACACGATGAAGTTTAAACCACAAACGTCTTGAAGTTATCACGTATAACTTAAAGTAATTGTGGCTATGAAACTTTATTCGGTAATGGCAGCTCAAATGTGGATTAAAGTGTAAAGTATTAAATAGTACAGATTTTTAAGTATAGATTAAGAGAAGTCATTTGGGAAGTATTGATATAAGTACAGGTTTAAGTGTATAGTGTTTTGATGGTGTCAGGGAGTTGTTGTTTTTTACAAGTAGAGAGTACAGGTAGATATTAGTCCAGGTTAACACGAGTACAGGTAGACACACGAGTACAGGTAGACACACGGGTACAGGTAGACACGAGTACAGGTAGACACGAGTACAGGTAGACACACGAGTACAGGTAGACACACGGGTACAGGTAGACACACGAGTGCAGGTAGACACACGGGTACAGGTAGACACACGAGTACAGGTAGACACACGAGTACAGGTAGACACACGAGTACAGGTAGACACGATTACAGGTAGACACGAGTACAGGTGTTGCCTTGATCCAAACGTAAACAAAGGAGTCATATTCACGTTCAGGCATCTGTGTGTACACCTGTATTGTGCCTTGTTAATGAGAGCACAGGTGTAGGGTATCTATTTACCTGATAAAAATAGTGATGTAGGTGTGGATGTGATACCTGGCTTGCTGTCTATCCATTGTGGCATCACCTGAAGATTAGACATCTCTAGTATTTCACCTGATTTGATACTCCCAGCTTGATTCATCTTATGATTAACTACACTAACGTTAATTGGAAGGGGTGAGGTTAGGGTGATTAATCTTCAGGTGAATTAAGCTAAGGATGGAGAGAGTTACGCCTGGCGAACGTTCACTTACCTTCTTCTTCTTCTGCTTGGACTGGTGTTGATGGTCTCGTGGTAGGAATAAACGGCGTCTTTGTTCCACCGGCCACTGTACTGCAAAATGTTTCTTAGCTCAGTACAATGTTCCTCAGCGCAGTACAATGTTCCTCAGAGCAGTACAATGTTCCTCAGCGCAGTACAATGTTCCTCAGAGCAGTACAATGTTCCTCAGCGCAGTACAATGTTCCTCAGCGCAGTACAATGTTCCTCAGAGCAGTATAATGTTCCTCAGTTCAGTACAATGTTCCTCAGAGCAGTACAATGTTCCTCAGCGCAGTACAATGTTCCTCAGCGCAGTACAATGTTCCTCAGCGCAGTACAATGTTCCTCAGCGCAGTACAATGTTCCTCAGCGCAGTACAATGTTCCTCAGAGCAGTACAATGTTCCTCAGCGCAGTACAATGTTCCTCAGCGCAGTACATATCTTGATGGGCTCGCCTTCAGGTTTGTCAATGATCCCACAATGACTGAAGAACTTCGATGCTCCTGACCCCTTCCCTTCCCTCCCCTTCCTCTCCTCCCCACCTCCTCTCCTTCTTGACCTGACCTCTGGCTATTAGACCTAGAGGGAGAGGACACGAGGAGGAGGAAGGGGGAGGGGTAGTTCGGGGTGATGAGGTAGAATGTCCTTCGGGATCCCGACAGGGGATTATTGGCTTAGCTCCATTGTACAGTAATTGGTGTTTTAAGGTGGTTTGTGTCGCGAACAACCCGCCGCCTCCCTGACCTTGTGTGTGAGAAGTCATTAACCTTTGATGACCTGCCAGCACCTCTCTGACCACCTACACACCACCCCACCCACTTCGTCATCCACTCACCCGTACTACCTCACGTCAACAAATTACCAGACTCAATTATATCCCAGATGTGTATGTGACTCAGATAGGGTGTTTGTTTGTTTGTTTGTGTGAGTGTGCACTACTATAGGAGACAGGAGAATGCTAAGAAGACCCACTAATAGGAGACAGTACAGTAGGAGAATGAGTGATGTCGTGTATCAATACTGTAGGAGGCGAAGCAGGAGGAGGAGACAGCAATGACCATTACCTCGTGTACCTGTGATCAACTACACACAAGATTCAGGTTGACTCTCTTACCTGTCAATTCTTTACCTGACACTAGACGATGGTAGACTGTCAAGGATTTATACAGGAGTAACATATTCTGGGGAGTCTTACACACACACACACACACACACACACGACGCCGCTAATCACTAATCACCTTATGTTGCCCAGGTTAATTACTTGGTGGTCAGGTATACCCACAGTCTATTTTTCTTCAATGTAATTACTGTCTTCAGCCCTACAAGAGCCGCCGTTGTCATCACGATCACCATCAACCACACTGTCTTCACTATTATTCAGTCGGTCAGTCTTTGTCTTCACCCTCAGTCAGTCAATCAGTTAGTTAGTTAGTCAGTCAGTCAGTCTTTCTATGTCTTCATCGTAAGTCAGTCTTTGTCACCATCACTATCACCACAACCACCACTGCCACCAACCACCACCAGTCAGTCAGCCAGTCACCATCACTACCACCACAACCACCAACCACCACCAGTCAGTCAGTCATAATCACCATCACTACCACCACAACCACCAACCACCACAAGTCAGTCAGTCATAGTCACCATCACTACCACCACAACCACCAACCACCACCAGTCAGTCAGTCATAGTCACCATCACTACCACCACAACCACCAACCACCACAAGTCAGTCAGTCATAGTCACCATCACTACCACCACAACCACCAACCACCACAAGTCAGTCAGTCATAGTCACCATCACTACCACCACAACCACTACCACAATCACCTCCATCACTACCACCACAACCACTACCAACCACACCCAATCCAGACATACTTATACTTAACACTCTACACTTACAACCTCCCTCTTAAGTCAATATAAAAGTAATAACCTAACCTAACCTAAATTCGTGGTATAGGACATATTATTGTTAGGCCGGTAACCCCTCACACTCTACCTGGGAATGTCAGAAAAATTTACGTGTTAATGATTTATGTTGGACGTTCAGGTTCTTGTCGAGATTGTCTGTTTGTCTTTCTGTCAATTTTCTTTTGTACTTTGTTTCTGTGTCTTTATCTCTCTTGTTTTTCATCTATTACTCTTGTTTGTTGTTATTTTACTTTTTCTCTTTCTTTCTCGTCTTTCTCCCAGCCTCCTCACCTATCCCCCTCCCCCCCCCCAAAAAAAAAATTAAATTAGACTCCACTAAATCA